ATAGCAGCAAAACTGTACAAGAGGTTACATGCTAAGTACCATACCAAAGTAACATGCTGCTACTCTGAATCTCACAATCAGAGAAAATTCTGAAAATAAATGCCAACCTGCAAGGGGTTTCAGCTGAAGCCAGTCAGCATCTGGTCTATTATTTAATTTGTGATCAGAAAGTTTCCTTCCAATTGGTGATTCTTCAGTCTGGTTTTTTTTGCACCATTTCTGCTTACTCTGCAACAGAAAACAGGTAACATCTGGTTTGTAAAGTGACATTGATGGAGATAAAAAAACCCGAACTGCTGTCCAAAAATCTCTTCTAAAGAGACCAAGTTACTCTCTTAACATGGTTAACAGAAGTATGTTCCTTCAGAATACTGAATTGAGCATAGGCTTAACAGGCAAGGCTCAGCAACAGTAGCTATCCCAGTGGAAATCCTTAAGCTACCACAGAATCTCACACACACAGATAATATTTCACCTTAGTAAGGCAGTACATTCTGACTAAGATTGCTCTCAGCTTAGAAACACATTATATGCAGATTTTGTTCAAGCATGCAGCAAGAACAGCTCCTCTAATTTGCTCAACTTTAATTTTTTTATACTTCTAGAACTTGCTTGTATTTTCCTTTAAAAAAGTAGCAAGCTCTTCTCTATCTGCAGCCCATACAACAGAGCTTATGGATTTGCCAAAGCAGCCTAGGGGATTTAATTATTTAATTATTCTCAAAGAAGGTATGTCCAATGGGTAGTTTTTATCCCTTTATCAGAAGATCTAAGAAATGCCTCCTCCTAAACAGAAAATCCCTTGCTGCCTGTCCAGCTAAGACTGCAAGTCGATGTGAAAACAGAGAACCTGAAATTTTTTCACAGTCATTTTGGGAGAAGCAGTTATAGTTTCAGTTTCACAAAAATAATTTTCTTCTCCAAGTTGACAGATGAAGGCAAAAGTTAAAATTGAATTTCCATGCACACTCACACTCCCCAAGGTACCTGTTCTCCTTTTATACCACCTTCATGAACATAGAACGCTTCTAGCACCAAAAATCCAATCGTTTGTAGAAAAACAAGTTAAAACTTGACTGGCAATTTATAGAAAGCAGGAGGCCTGAAAATGTTAGCATTTTCTGATGTAGAAAAATTGAATACCTCTGTTAGATCACCATTGTTAGCTAATAATATACTGCTAAATTTCTTGTAAATTGTCCAACAATTGCTATGTTCTTTCTTACACACTGCTTTTCATATTTTTTGGGGAAAAAAAAAATCACAGCACTTTGGAGAGAGAGCTGTAATCTCTTTTACTTAGATCTACCTCCAAATGTATCTGGTCAGAAAGCTGCAACTTTGCCCACCAGATTTCTACACTGCCTTCCCAAATTACTGTGTTGAGAAAAGTAACTTCTTCACAATAGGATTTTCTCTCATGACAGTAGCACTTGTTCACAGAATAACAAATCATCACACAGACAATTCCTCCATTCTCAGAAGGTACCTTCAGGTACTATGTTTTTAAACGGCGTGCAGTTTTAGTACGTACCTTTTGTTTATTGTAATGTTTGTACATTCTTATACAGTGTTCAATGATGAACAAAACATAAATGCCTCCAAGTGCCACAAGACCTTTCAGCACTGGATCATTTTCTTCTAGGAAGCCTTCGGTCCGCACTCCATGTCCATGGGCATGTCGATGGGAACGCTTGTGTTCGTGGACATGACCTTGGCCATGGTGGTGACTGTGGTTGTGGCCTCCATGTGACTATTAGGAGAGAAAATAATAACACAGCATGACCTGGTGCAGTCAGGAGACTGGAATGGCTCTCAGTTCAGACTAAAAAATATGTCACCTTGCCAGTAAAGTAGCATAAAACCCCACTCTTTCTTTTTTTCCCCACCCTAACACACTTTGCCATATTAATTTTTCATTAGACGATTCATTATGCTAATAAATTAAAAAAAAAAAAATCTGGAAATTTTTGGGGGCAGTGGGAGATAATTTAGCTTCAGCTTTTCTCACAATGCTGATGATAACGAGACTAAGTCTCAGAAATATCACACAGAATTACCACTCCTATGCTCCCACTAGTAACCAAACCTCATGATTTTTTTTACCATTACAGGCCGTAAGAGACTTAATTCTGATCTGACATATAAATTTAAGAAAAAAAAGCCTAAAAATGTGTATTTGAATTTATACAGAGAAAACATGTAAACAGTAATCTTACTGTTGAAATAAAATAAAAAAAGTTTAGAAAACATTTCCCCTTTTAAGAATTACAGTACACCATTATGAATTAAAAACTGCTTACTTTCCCCGGAACCTGGGAAATTTCTTGATTCAGTATGTTAGAGGTTACTTTCTCCCCAAAAGCTAGTAACCATGAAGGTGAATCCCCAGCAAATACTTTTAGGTGGTATTGATACACAATCAACTGTCAGTAGACAAGAGACAGCAATACTGTTTACTTTAAAATACACTTGTTGGGCTAATAAGGTGTTTTAAAATACTAACAGTAGTTTAAAATAGTGACAGCAGTTCAACTATGAATACATAACTTTTTTTTTTTTTAATGAAAAACACATTTTCTTTCTTTTTTTTAACAGTAAGTCTGTAACAGTGTTTCAGGATGTCCCTCATAGTCCAGTCATCTTACATCTGCATCAGTGAACATTTATCTATTGACAATATCAAACAATTCCTTGAAAATTCTAGATCATTTACAATTAAGAATAAAAGGTAAGGAAACAATACTTACATGTGGCAATAGATGGAGCAGTGCATCTCCACTCATTGTTCCTACTGCCAGAGCTACCAAGAAAGTTAGAAGAAATTTGAAGCACCATTGGTTAATGATGGGAACCAAGATCACCCCTAGCAAGGAAAGCAGGCTAATGACGGTGATAGAGATGATACCACAAAACCAGGCTGTGGGAAGAAATGAATACAGAAAGATTATCAGAACACCTGTAAAACTTTCAAGACTTCCAAGTATCTCTTAAGGAGAGGTGACTCTCCTTTAACCTAAGCTGTGTGACTGTTCATTCAAAAGGTGCTGAAAAATATGAGAGCAGTACTGAAGTCCACAGACTTATTCATAGTACATTATAATATACTGAAAGATATCAGAAGAGTTAGCTAAAAAAAGCCCAGCAATTCTTCCTGATTGTTAGTTCCAGCCTCAGTTTTGTAGCCCTTAATAAAACACAAACAGCAAAAGATTTCATATTTGAACAAGAACACCTCCACTACTTAAGCTCAGATTGAGTTCAGTTTGCCAAGTTAACTTAACAAACTCTAATGCATATTTAGCATTTGTTTTTAACGTGGTTCTGAAGCAAAATTTATCTGAAATCTCCTCCTCTGCTTGGAGTCACATGTTTGGCACTATTTATTTCACCTGGTGCTTTGAAACATATATTTTTATTAATAAGAAGTAAGACAACTTTTGACTCTAGAATAAAATTCTTCAATAAGAGCTTGAATAGCTGAAAGCAACTTGCTATCAATGAAAAGCAGCATTTATTTTATCTGAGAACCTCTACTGTTGTCATTAGAAAAAACAGTGATAATGGGATGTGGTACACCCAGAATAGTCCTCTTAATTAGGGAAGATGAGCACATTTCTAGATGACATGCAAATAAAGAAATTACTCAAGAAACAGATCCTATAATCAAAGACACATGACTCTTGCAGTCAGCATCTCACCCTAACAAAATATTTTCTTTAGTTTAAGTTTTAGTCCAAAAGCTTCAGGTTTTTCCAGGGTTTTCCCAGTTTCATTTTCAATCAAAAATGTCTACACATTTTGCCAACTTCACTGCAAGTCAAAACTCCTGATTCAAAACCACTAGCACTTCCACATTTCCTAGCATGACCTGACTTCCCTTGCACCTGTGAAGGTCCACTCATTTAGGGAAAACATCTGGGAAAATGGGAGAGCAGGGGATTGGTATGGATGAGAGGAGAAGAGAGGAGGAATGAATATGTTGTAGCAGACAATATTAAAATGTCAAACATCTCAAGAATTCTACCTGTACCAAAACCACTACGGAATTGATTTGACAAGACTTTGCCAATAGATTGTGGCTGTTGGCAGGCTTGGTCTAGTTCAACCTCAAAGCTTACAAAATCTGCTGGTTTAAAATTTATGTGCACTGACATACATGCATATTGAGACAGAGGCAAAAAGAGAGTTGCTGAAAAGGCAAAGTCTGCCATCAGGTGAGGAACTAAAAAACAGAGGTTGAAAAATGGGAATACAAAAGTAGGTCTAAGGTGGACCTTGAGGACCAAAATACTGTCACTACGCAGTCTCCAGAGAAGTTCAGCCACGTACTGTGGATTAAGAGGCTCTGCTGAAAAAACCAGCATACATGGACTTGTCATTCAATGCTGAATCATGCATGCATGCACAAGCAGCCCAAATATAAGTCACACAGCCATTTGGCAGGACACTGGACCTCCAATCTGGTCACATTATGATGTTAAGTGCCAGGTTAGATGATCAACAGCCTTACATGGAGAAAAATGGAAAGGAGATTATGCAAACTGGCTTCAGTTTCATATATCATAGCTTAGTTTTTTGGCAAAGACACCTCTGAAGAGCTTACATACTCTTATGAATGATACAGTACCTAAACATGGCATCATGATTAAGATGGGGCACATGAGAATTAGAATACAGAATCTGTGCAACTCTCGGATCCCCTCCAGGAACATTGGCATCTGCACAGGCAGAATTACAAGCTGTATCTGATCTGAAATACTTGGACTCATCGGCTCTAAGTGATCTCCACCTTTAAAAAAACTGCCCACTGTTTACTTGTATCACTTCTACTAGTTTGATTCATAGTAGGATGCGTCTTTGCTTTTTAAGTTAAGTTGCTTAGGGGCCCTCAGTGATGACAATGTCACCTATTCCAGCAGGTACACTGTGAAAGCTCAGTTGGTATGCATAAGGCCTTGAAATTCCTCTATTAGATGTTACAGAAACTATGACTAAATTACAGGAAGAAAACCCAACATAGCTTCAGAAGTTTTTGGTTGTCAGTTAATTAAATTACTTTGCTTTAGAAAATGCACTACCAGAGGTAAGGGAAATCTTACAGTGAGTCGAAGCAACATTGGTCTGTTAAGTTTTTTTGAAAGCTCTAATTAGAACTAAAGAAAATTCCCCAAAAGCTTATGTTTAAAAATGACTGCATCCTCCTAACTTCGGCAAATCCTTCCATCTAAAAATGTTTATATTAGCTCATGTAAGCACACATTCTCATTTTAGTAAAATCCTATAAACTGCAGGTTCAGTTACTCTATGACTGAAATTAGTCCTACACCTCCCCCAGTCCCCACATTCCAGTTAGGATTTGTGATTTTGTGATTCACTTCTTACTTAAAAAGGAAAAATTAATATTGCATCACTGAAATTTTGCTGTAGTTAATCCAAGAGTATACAGGAAATTGTTGTGAGGAATGATTTATTGTTATCTAATCAAGCTGACCTGTTTTAGGGGTTACTGTTTATGTTCACAGCCAAATCAATGTTAAAACCCAAATTTTAACAACTAATTGGCAAAGATGTTATTTATACTCAAGGTACCAGATGACATAAAACATGTTAAATATTCACAATAAGCTTCATTAATTTTGCAAATTAAGTCTCTTAAAATGTTAAAGGTCTTCAAGCTGAGTTATTCATCAACTCCCTTTCTCATTACAGAGAAATAAAATGCGTTCCTTTAAAAAGAAGCACTCAACTGTAGAAACTTTCTAATTAAACCGGTCCAAAGCATGTGCAACGTGACAGTTTTGTATAGGGTTTCAACATTTTAATTGGCAGCAAATGCTTAGGGCAACTCTAGAAATGCTCTTGGTGATAAGGCAGGGGTCAACTCTTACTACAATGAGACGACCCCACAAAACAATGTGGTGCCATATGTAACACACAGTATATCTGGTTTACAGCAATCTTTGAACAGTTAACAAGAGAGCAGATGTGCCCCTATAGGAGACGTATTCATAAGAAGTTAACTATTTTAATGACTCCAGAATCGTTAAGAAAGAACAATGCATACTTTCCAACAGTTATTAACATCTATGACAATGTAGTTACTTCAAGCTTTATTTCTAGTGATGCTAATAAGCACCTATGTACTAATCAGTATTTCACCACAGTACTTTTATTTTCAAAATACAGACACTACATGCAATTTTTTTTTTTGATTTTTAATATTTCACTGCAACTAAACATCAACAGTTCCATTATCATTTCTAAAAGACTGCAGTACTGAATATGTATTTTAGAAGTACATTCAGTTATGAAATCACAACAATGAATGTTGCCCCTAAAGTAACTGCTTTAACAGTGGTAAAAATACTCTTAGCTTTGAACTATGGCAAAATGCCTAGGCCCAATGGTAAGATGTTAGGCCTCAATGATAGAAAACAAACAAACAAAAGAAATAAAAATAAGCAAACATAAAATAGTGAAAATAATAGTGAAAAAAACATACCTCCTTGATCCATGGTTACCTTGAAGAACTTGTTATACCACCTAACAGAATGCTATGTCTCCTGACTTTAAAGATGACATCTCAAACTTTTTCTAGTATGTTAAATTTCAACCATTCCTTTACAAGCAATGATAAACTGTATGACATGTCAAACTCTGAAGTTTTACATTTAAATTGCAAAATGATTAGAAAGCTTTAGATGTTAACACACCTACCTGATGCACCTGTTTTATCTTTATTCTCAATTGACGCATTTTTACTTTTCATAACGTCTTCAAACTCATCATAATGTGCAATACAAAGCCTTCTCTCAATCTGGTATAGCAAAGCAGGACATATGTACACGAACAATTCAGGAGATATTAGAGAGCTGGTTTCCAGACCATAATATCGTAGCAGCTGGGTAGCATTTAAGCACTGCAAGCAAATTGTACAAATAAATTAAGTATAAAAGCAACTATTTTATTAAAAGATACAGTTACGGAGAATTTAGCATATTATTTGAGAACACAGACAGCAGAAACTTTGGCCCAAACATACCATCAGTGCTATAATGTGTTTTAAGCTGACCTAAGTGGTTTATGAGGGGAAAGAAACAGTAAAAATATCTGGACTACAAATTCAAGTCTCCCAACGCCTACATAGTTTTTGATAAATATTAATGGAAATGAGTTTCCATATTCTTTACCATTACACAGTAAAAGCAATGAAGAAAGAGCAACAGGTAAGGAGTAGGAGAATGTAAATCCAAAATAGGTTTACTAACACTTCTGTTTATCTACCAATCTTCTGTGTTTAGAGTTTTACTTTTTAATTCAGTTTAAAACCTCAAACTTAGCATTCACTCGATTCTTCCCTATCCTGACTTCTAGTTTAAAACTATGGTATCAGAATATCCTGCCTCTGTAGTAGGGACTATTTATGGTGCTGGCAGAAATAATGGATGCTGAAGGAAGAAATATATCTTACACTGAGCACAGTGCTACTTAAGCTACATCTACAATTGCTTCATAATCTCTCAGGACAAACACATTAGAACCATTAAGAGAAGATGCAGATATTTCTTTTAGGAAAGAGTGTCTGTGCAGCTTTCAACAATGTTAATGATCTCAGATTCAGGAAGAAGTCCAAAACCAGTGTGTGTTGTGGCAGTATTCATCAATATGGGGAAGAGAAAAGAACCTCACCTAGAAGCAGCATCTCTCAGAAAGCTTTTAAGGACCAACTTCAATACAGATAAAAATAGGCAAGAAGATAGATCTCTGAGAAAACATGGGTGATGGGCAGACAGAAATGAAAACTCATAAAGTAAACTCAAAACTGTGGCAGTGACCTCTAGCATTTTCATTCTGCGATCTGTATTATACCACGGTCACAAACGTGCTTCTCTGTTATTTGTGGGTGTGCACTTTCAATTACTACATAACATTACATTAGGTACAGCAAAATGTAACAACAGCAGAACTCAACTTACCAGCTTCCCACTTCACACTCACCTCTTCACGATCCTTGTGACCACGCGTTGATAAGAGGGCACGTTTTCTTACACTGATCTGCTTGCGAGGTGCCTCTCGCTTGCTGGTATTTCGGTGCCCATCGTCACTACCTAAGCTGGCATCTTGATGTCCATGACTACTAGAACGATCACTACTGTGGTCGTGATGGTGCACATGCAAGTGAGATGCATCATGCACGTGATCATGTTTATGGACACGATTGTGCTCATACTGATCACCGGGATCACGATCCGGGGCATAATCCCACGTAGCATCTCCCGAAGTCTCGCTGATCTTCTTCTGCTTCTTTTTCTGTTTCCGTTGTTTTCTCTCTGGCTGATCCTGAGTTGTGTTTGTCTCTGTTGAAGGTTCATGGTTCTGTTCCCCATGCTCACGATGACTAACTGAATCATTACGGGAGTGATGGGTGCCGTTATGGTCATGGCGATGTGGACGAGAGTGGTGGTGGTGGTGACGGCGACTTTGGTCATGAACGTGTTTGCCATCATCTTTTACTGATGGCACCACTGTGTCTCTCTCAGCATCACATTTATGATTTCTCTTTGCAGACATACCAATCGTGGTTTGGTTTTCTGAATCTGAGTGGCTGTGAGGATGGTTATGAGTGTGAAAATGCTTTCCTTCCTGTACTTCTAAAGCATATAAGTGAGAAACATGATCATGGCCAATATCATCATGATTTATCATCACTACTTTTACCTCTCCTAAACCAAGGCTTATTAACAGTTTTTCCAGGCCAAAAAAAGATAATCTTCCATTTTCACCGTAACGATCAAAAATCTTTTCAATGTAGTATTTTTGCTCATTTTCAGCTTCCAACGTTGAAAATTTACTCGGCATAGATTCTGTTCCTCCACTCTGGAAGTACGATTCATTTGAGATCTGATAGTCATTATGGTAGTGTCCACGATCCTTTTTAGGACCATTGTTATGTCCATCTCCATGGCAATGATTGCACTGATGAAAGATAAATGTCAGCAAACAAATGATGCAAAATTTTGTGTGCATGTGTACCTTCATCTCTGTTTCCTACAAGAAACACAAGGGGAAGCACTTAGGTGTAAAAGCAATCTCAACACTTGTACTACATATCAGGCTGGTACTTATTTATGCCAATTGAATGGCTCACAAAACTTTTTACATATTGGCATTAAAGGAATAACAATTGCAGTACTTTTACTGCCAAAATTGTGTTAGTGTACTTTTCTTATCCAACAGTCAGACAGATTCTGTGTGTTTTAGAGATGCTGTTTTACATACAATACTTGCAGGAGGTGATTACAAGATTTACAGCATTTACAGTTAGTCATAACACTTTTGTGTATATTTTCAGAGGCATCTATTCTTATGATAACCTATAACATTGAAAATCTTTTCAAACCCCAACTTACAATAGAGTAAAAATTGTTTTAAAATAACAATACTGTATTTTCTTGTTCATGGGGGAGACAGGCAGATAAGACAGTTAAAATCCCATGCATAATTTGTTCTCTTTTGTGCTGCTAAAGTACCTCCACTAAACACACACACTGCACAGTTCCCTATTTTGAAATCAGCCGTTACCAATTCCAAAATAAGTTGTCATTAACCAACTTTCGTGTATTGCCTAAATTTTCATATTTTTAGCACTTTTCACTTACATGGGTTTACTTACTTGAAAGATCTAGATGGACATTTATTTAAAAGTAAGGTTACATGGAAAACATCTCCTTATGCAACTCAAAAAATATGGTTAATTCTGACACTGTCTAGCTTAAAGTAACTAATACTGATTTTTAGAAACTATATCACCTAGAAAATGTAGTTTTCAATTTAGTATTACATGTAAGAAACTTAATATTCAACATTACATTATGAAGAAGACACTGTAATAGTGTATGTTGTGTTTAGAGTTGAAAACAATTCATTATTTTACAAAATACGACAGCTGTCTTGTTTACATCTGGTAGCATATATATATATGTAGCATTGGAATAATTATTATGAATGAAACTTAAGAAAAAAAATCCAAGTGTATGTAAAAATGTTATCAAATTAGAAAACTAAACATAAGCCAAGAACTGTACTTTATGACTTCTATTTTCTAGAGACTTATTTTGGATAGAGAATAACCCTTAAAATCAAAGAGCATTTACCTTGCAGCAAATGCAAGGATGTAAGAAAACAAGAAACAGAGCAAGCATGCTTTAGTCTTTTAACATTGACAGCAGTTTTAGTTCCTTAAGTGCATCTTGACCAGAGCTGGCACTGACCCTCCCTCCATTCACAAAGACACAAGTGATCTGGTGAACACATCCTAAAATGACACTGACTTTCAGACAAGACACAGTAAATTCAGTTGTCCTTCCCAAGCCCCCCGCTAACTAAAATGTGCTTCATGAAATTGGTCAGAAAAGTGATTTGCAGCAAACCACAAACATTTAAAAGTCCATCCTAATTTCCTAAAATACCAGCTTGTTGATTTGTGCATAATTACTGGCAACCACATTACACACACAGACACAGACACACAAAACCTGTTGGAAGCTCCTATACTTGCAACAGGTAGGAAGAGAAAAAGAATCAAAATAACCAGGAAGGGGATACGTTCTAATGACTTTATATAGCAAATAAATGAATCAACACAGAAGACTGGGGGGGGGGGGGGGGAAATCTTTCTCCTGTAAACTTCTACAAATACAAAATATGAAAATTTACTTTTCACTGGAGTTTCAAATGCTTATGAAATTAAGAAAAGGCAGAACTGTGTTTTGCAATACTATCCCACTTAAAAATGTAAGACTAGAAGAATATCTGTCAAATGGAGGCATCTGTATCAAAATTGGTTCTAGGGACATCATATAGGTCAATGGCTAACCATTGTACATTACTGGCTTATTTTTATAAATAACAGTTCAATCATCAGTCTGGAATTACTATAGTTTTTCTCCAGCTCAATTCCCTACATTCCAGTTACTGATTTAAGGGCTGTGACAAACTTTCTCAAGTAGTTTATCATGATGAGTTCATCCCCGAAATTTACTGGGATATTATTTTCATAAAGTCTTTTTCACTTCACAGGCTCTCTTGAAGGCATCCCTAATGCTCTTATAAAATACATCACAGGATTAGTAAAAAAAAAAAAAACCAACATCAGAAGTGTCTAAAAAATCTTCCAGAAGCTTTTTCCATTTTCCTCTGAGGAACCAGGTAAATGGTGGTACTGGAGGAGTAGAATGAAACAGGTTGCAAATCTTTATCCAAGAGTCACTGGAGTGGGTCAGCCCTCAGACTGTATAACTGCCTGGAAACACCTTTAAATAAAGGGCATGATTTTTCTTATGCAGGCTGAGAACCTGGACCCTGACTTGTAGCACGCCAGGAAGCAGAAACATTCTGGCAGTAATAATGACTGTTGACAGATCAAGAGAGCTCTGCATTTCTTTAGGAATACGCTGATTTTCATCAACTAAGGATTTACAATGTTGAATGCTACATAATGTGAAGAGCAGGTTCAGGATCTGTAATAAGCAGTTAAGGCACACACAAGACCAACAAAAGCCCTGGGAGAAAGGTGAACGTGCTTGCACAGGAGATGGCAGCAACAGGTAAGTACTTGCTGTTCACTGTAATGCTCCAGCCAACCGTTCAAGAAGCTTTTTTACTTCAGTTTCTCAGTACAGAAAAGAGCATGGCAAGGTTAGGTAAAACTCACTTACTCAAAGGGTACTGTTTTTTGTAGGCAAGACAACTTTTCTCCCCCTTTGCTACATACTGGTAATATAACCAGAACAAGAGAAGTCGCATTACTCTCATTTACACAAGCACGATCCAGGCTAAAATATCTCTATCAGGAAATTCATGACTAAAGCATGATCATAATCCTTTTCACACAACCTCATGATCTTTTTCATGTGACTGTCTCATACAATACTACTAATACATTACTTGGAAACTTTAGTCATGCATCCCTAATTGTGGTGTTTAGCTTTGAATGGTACCTTTTCTCCATGCTCTAATGGTTAAAATAGTTTGTAACCTATGATCATGATCCATTGCTAAAATACAAGAGCTGAGCATCATCAGACCAATTTCAAATTCAAGTACTTGTCTCACTATTTTCAATTTAAACAGTAATAACTCTAGCACAATACTTTTGATCTTCTATTATATAATATGCTGTATCTTCCATGGCAATTCTTGTCACAGAACAAAGATGCTTAAAAAATAAATGTACTCATAATAAAAAGTCTCAAAAAGAACAACCATAAAGAGCTGATTATTTATTTGTTTCTTTTTAAATAAGCTTCATTATTCCCTAGGCAATTACAAACAGCTGCCATATTTAACCTCTCAGGCAGTACTTGTATGTGTAAAATACTGGAAAGCTGAAGTCCAAATTCTATACATTTCAGTGGCACAAAATTCTATTTAGCTGATTTCAACATAGGAACACGAAGACTCTCAATTCCTTTCAAGAGAATATGGAAGGGCAGCCTGAGGACAAGGCCACACCAAAGCTGAAAAAGATTCTGCCTGTTACTGCTGTCAGCCTTTGCCTAATTCTTTCCCTCGTTTGATTCCCTGCTGCCTCCCCTTCTTCCCTCCACAGCTCCTTGATGGGCGGGCACCCAACACAGGGGAGATACCAGGGAAAACATCTCCTGGATGTTGCTAAGAAACTACAGCACTCTAAAGGGCAGGGCTGGAAGTAACAGCACCTGCTACTCTGGGCACGAGAACAACACGAGTCCTTCACGACACTCAGGCAGCGGGACAACCCCACCCTAACCCAAGCTCCAAAGTTAGAACAACGTGCACATGTGGAAAAGTTGAGCAGTGCGCCCCACCAGCAGGCATTCCAGAAATGGCTCCCAGTGCTGCCCAGTGCACCCCCTCCCCGTTCATGAGGGCAAGCAGATCACTCACATTAAATGCAGCATGACTGCACATCCACACACGAGACTTTCGTATCAGAGGCTAGAGGTCACAGAACCTGAGCGGTACATAAGCAAAGAGTTACCTTCTCTGCATGGAAAACTCACCATATCTCTGTGCTCAACCACTGTCTGCCTACGATGTTTAATCTATTAAATTAAAGATACCTATGATGATAGTTGGGGTTCGGTTTAGGGTTTTTTTAAAGCCTTTTTGATTCATTTTCCCTTGGATTCCTGAAAATTACCCACAGTCCCTACTACTTCAACTGTTCTTCTTTATATAGTACTTGATTTATGACTTAGAGCTTGGAACATAAACGTGATCTTGGGTGAAATTTTTGTTTATTTATCAGCAACTGCTTCACTGAAACTAGAAAACTAGTTCAGGAGTTAGGCTTTACTTAAAACAACAAACTTGGATTCAAATTACGTGGTCATACAAAATGCAAACTGAACTGAAAGCCACATCTATCATTTTAGTGCTTGCAACCCACGTACTACAGCATTTTTTTAGTGTACAACAGTGCTGACTAGAACATTTTAACTGCCCAACTTTCTTCCCCCAACCTGTTTTCTTGTCTGCTCCCAACAATTTTAATAACCTGAAATATTTGCAACAGAAATGCACTGATTTCTGCCCTTCCCACGCTCCTTCCCAAGTTATTTCAGTTTCTCTCCCGTGTTGTTGAACTTTCTTTCCTTGTTTTCTCTGAAGAACACACTACCCATCTTTAAAAAACATCTTTGACTCCTTTACTCATCTTGAATGCCCACTATAAGTAAATTAACTTAGCAATATTTCATGGGCAAATGGAAGCTCCACACCAAACACATGCTTCAGCTAAGGTAGGAGAGAATCCAGAAGGACAAAAGGTGTTAAAAATAAAGACAAAGCAATATTCTTTCAGACTAAGACATTCTCTCTGTTCAGCACTGAGAAGTTAAGCACTTGTGTAATTCATTTCTATTAAGAACTGCTCAGAGTAAAAGCTCTACGAGAAGTGCTAGTTTTTTAAAAAGATAAACATTTCTTGAAATAAAGTTTCTGACTGCATAAAGATAGTTTTTCTTACAATTCTTGAAAATTTTAATGCCTTTCTATATTGCAGG